CGGGGCGGGGGGCGCGAGTTACGCTTCAAGTTGTGACAGGCCTCAGAGGCGCGACGTCTCCGAGGCACGAAGCGCCCCTTTGTGTGGGGAGAAGCGGTCTTGTGCCGCCGGAGTAAAGCCCCTGGCGGAGAGGAGCTGTTATTTGCTCCCTTTCAAGTCTGCTAGCTTCCCTTTTCAAGCAGGTTACCAAAACGTAACTTAAGAAGAAAGTATAAGTTAGTGTGCCTCAGTAAAGTTCTGGCTAAACCTTCTCTGAAGTATGTTAATGGCTCTTTCTGCTGCACAAATTCATTAATTTCTTTTTTAATCCCCCGTTTTTCATCTAACAGGAAAACAAAAGCCCAAGACAATGCCTGAAGGAAGGACACTGTAGAAGTTTGCAAATTACATTTTTTGCATGCAAAAGATCGATGGTAAGTGTTTGTGTTGTGCTGTTTTGTGCTGCACAAGCCTGGTAGCTTTCTTTCCCTTTCCCTGCTTTCTGCAGGAAAGCACACCTAGATTCAGCAAAGCTGCTTTCATTAAGCAGAATAGTTCTTTTCTTCCAATTCCCTTTAAAATTTGAACTTTATATAGCATTTTCATTAATCCAAATAAAGTTTATAGATCGTGACTATGATTTTAAAAATGCGTATTTAAATCAAAGTAGACTTAGAATGTGACAGGTAGGATAAATGAAGTAGATAATTTTTGCTGTTCTGAATAAAGCTTTGTAATATCAATAGACAAGGCAATTGTAAAGAGTAGGCTTAAGAGGCTAACTTTTATCTATGAAGTCATTGGAAGAAACACGCTGAAAAACAGTCTGTTTTTCTAGGGAGGTAGCTATCAAGTATGGTAGTGAGAGGCTTATAAAAGTGTAATTGTAGAAAGATTTTCCCATTTTTGATAGGCGTTCCTTGTGTAAAAGTATCTTACTTGTACTGCAGTAATATTAAAAATAGTTAAGATGTGGCAAAAATGATGTCAAAGCTTACTAAGACTGAATAGTGCAAAGCTCACTTCTGTACTTGAACAATTGTGATACATAATGCGGAATACAGGAAGGAAGCTGTGCCTGAACTTTTTTCCCCATTATGTGTTTTTCACCTGAGCTTCAGCAGCTTTTTATTCCTCTCCTGTACGAGCTATATTAGCTCATATAGAGAGTAACAAATTAGTGTTTCTGTAAACAAGAAAAAACAAGTTTCGCTGTATGTTTAATACTTCAAATACTTAGGTATTTGAAACCGCAGCTGTAGTACATGTATCTCCAGGTGCCAGATCTGTATTTTTTGTTTGTAAGTCACTGAGGGAATCTGATGAAAATCAGCTTTCTAGCTAAGCGCCTGCAGTCAGGTAGAAAGAGACCTGGTTCTTATATGATTCTATTTAAGTGTTCTGAATTATAAAGAGTGACGTTCTTCTTGTCCTATTGAACTATGTAAATTGCAGTGATGGTACTCGCCAAACTGGTTACTTGGAATATTAGTGAGGCAAAAAGACTATGAGCATTAGACACTAAATATAGATAGAGTTTGTGCTAGCTTCAAATCATTAGGGTTTTTGCTTCTTGTTGTTGTTCAGGGAATATACTCTCTTGTTGGATGAGTAAACCTTAGTACAGTTTAGGTACTTAAATAGGAACAGGGTTTAAAGTGGAAGCTGCTGGGTGATTTGACAAGTTGTACTGTCCAATGCTGTGTTTTAGCTCTTCAGTTTTATCACAGTTCTGAATTCTGAGAGAGAGTTAGTTAATGGAGGTAAAAGATACTACTTCTTCACTGAAGCGCATTCAGTAACTGCAATATAAGCTCAGAAGAACTGTTCCGATATCAAATTATATTTTTCTACTGTACTGGGAAAGAACTTGCAATTTACTTTCAGTAAATGCTGCACAGTAGCTTTATTTTAGCTTATGTTCCATTCAGTGCCCTTTTTTTTTTTTTTTTTTTTTTACAAACAACTTCCCAGAGCAAACTTAGTTTTTACGAGTTGAATATTATGTCAGTTTTTTACTGATGTTTTTAGACACTTTCCACACAGAGATTTGCAGTGACTCCCACTTAACCCAATCTGAATTTTCCTCTTTCAGTTTACTGTTAAGTTTGGAAAAGCAGATCTAAGCAGATTTACACTGCTTTGTTTCAGTGTTTTCCCTGCCAGCCCACTATGCTGTTCTGTCATCTACGTTATTACACTGTTTATTTCAGAATGCACAAGATGCTTATCGCTTAATGTTACCTTTGTGTGAAACTTAAAATGACAGAATATATGTTTCATCTGGAAAAGTTCTCTGACCTGTTGGCTACATCATCGATTTTCTTTATGGTGACTTCTGCTCTATTCTGTGCTTTTCTCTGGTTTTGTAAAGTGTCAAAATAGCACAAACTCTCTGAAGTATTTTGCAAAATTTTATTATGCTGTTTATATATTGACTTCAATCTTCAGTTGGACGCCAGAGCAAGATTCAGAGGAAGAAAGGGATACTGAAGCCCTCATGAAGAGAGCCAGCCATGGGAAATTGGGGTTTGTCAGCACTTTATACAAAACAGAGACTAAAGAAAGAAGATTGTGTTTGCAGCATCCCTGTATGCAGTGTTTTCATGGAAGATATCTACTTCTGAAGATTCTGATAGATTGAGCTGGATGTGCATTTTAAATGTTAGAAAGAAAGCAGACACAAAACTGCAAGTTCTGGCCAAAATAGGTACTTTTCATGCACTTGTAATAAAATACTTAAAATCCAAAATAAGCTGCAGCAGTTATTTTTGTGTTTTGAAGTGAAGTTGAAGTGAAGTTGTCATTAGTGATTTCTGATAACCTTTTACTACTACAAATAATGCAAAATTTTGGAAGTTGGGAGTTCACTGAACTAGTATCTCATAGGATACCTTAGGACAGAGCTGTTGTTTCCTGACAGGATGGGCTGACCAAGGCTATGAAATATATGTGCTAGCTGCTTCCTTCCCAATGTGTTTATTAGTCAATAAACCTGCACTGGTAGATGCAGGAGTGATGTTTCTGCAGTCCCACATGTGCAGGATGGCATCTCTTTCATCTTGCTACAAATTTCTTTTAATATGATGATTGATGCATGTGTTTATTTTTACAGTCCAGTCTCGCTGGACAGCTAGATTAAAATTTGGGTTCTCGAAAGTAAAAGATATCTGATTTATCTTATAGTAATTTGTCTCTTCATTGTATCAACACAGGTGCAGGAGAACTATAGCATTATTCTCTGCAATAGCTTGAGAGCTGTATGCCAGGATTACCTGTATGCTAATTATATTTCTTTGGATGGGGAGGGGAGGAAAGGAGGAGTCCCTCACATGTGAACAGTTAAGGAGGCTATGGTTGCTGTTGCTGAATTTTAGAAGTATCTACAACAGTATTTAAGTTCCTCTGAGATGAATCTGCACCAAATTTTTTGCTTTATTTTCCAAGGAAGTATATAAATATTAATCCAAACACATGCACAGACTAGGGATGATGATTTAGACTCTATTGTGTTTATTGGAAATTGCATTCCACAAATTTACTTTGTAATTTCTGAGTATTTTTCTTATTTTTACTTCGTCAATTCTCTCTAAATTCTTTGGTTTGTCTGTATGGATGTAAAATGTTCAAATTGCCATTCATATTCACTAAATTATTAAATACTTTTAAAAATGTGCTCTTATGTTAGTTTTTTTTTTTTACTTATGTTTACAGAATTTCCTAAGTTATAAAAGAGCTGCAGTGAAAAAGCGAACAAATGAACAGAGGAAAACACTGTTTTGCTTTCCTTCGATCAAGGATGACTCTGGCAGATCTGTCTGCGATATGGCAATGTTCTTTGAGACGTAGATAGATATCTCTATCAGTGTCTCTTGGGCCACCTTGGTAAGAAACCAAGATGTGCACTAGTAACTAAATACAACATAAGTAATCTGTAGCCAAAGCTTGGTGGTTTTATTTAAAAACTTGCTTCTGAAGAACACTCCTTTTTCCTTCCTGAGCATCCCTGCCCTGTTCTGCCTTTTGAACCCTTTACAAATAAATGGTAATGTAACTCCTATATGTGAAAACTCAAATAATTTCAGACAAGCTAATCAGAAACAAGATCAGGAAATAATGAGAGGGGAGAAATTCATATTAACTTCCTTTCTTTGCTAAAATCTATAGCAAAGTAACTCATTTACACTTAGTCTAGGCAGATGCATGCAACACTTAGAGCATTTGTGAAACTGACTTCAGTGAATGAGCACGTTGATTGTTTGATTCTGTCTCTCTTAAGCAACTGTTCTGTGATAAGCCCAAGTGTGATTATATTCCTTCTTGTATGTATAATTAATATATTCATTTTAAACTCAAAGATACGGGCATTAGGATTTGCCTAACTTTTGGCAGTGGTAAATCAACACTGATTTCACATTTCTAATGTTCTATTGATAGGTGGAAGCTAGTTGTTTTCTCCGTGTGCTGTCAACATACTAAGTTCTCCATGATCTGTTTACCTTATTATCTCTTTATATATACTTAACTGATAAATCGATGTGATATCTGCAAGTCGTCTTAACCTAGCGCTATGTTTCAAAGTATTACTCTCGCGCTTTCTCGCTGGTTGGAGTGAGGGGGGCAGATGGGAGAAAATAAAATTGGTAGCTACTTTGAAGATAATTCGATGCCACTTAGAGAGAATAGTGGGACCGGTATGTGGTTTGGAAGTCAAGGAGTCTTCCGCTGTGGTGCCTTACAGCAGGGGCCTATACATTTGACCCGCAGATGATCGCTTCCTTTCTCTCAGTCATAATCACGGAGCTTCACCAGTGGTGCCACAGAAGCTCCTTTTGGAAAGGAAGAGACAGATAACTGAAGTTATTTCTATTCATTGGCTTAATCCAATGGAGATCAAGTATTAAAATCAAATGAAGTATTTGTTATTAGATGCTTCAGAATTTCATTATCTACCAAATGACTTTTATTGTTTGATCTCATAGAACCTCTTAATGGCAATAGTTCCTAATCTGGGACCGAAATGCTTCACTAGATTATCTAGGAGAGTATAAAAATACACATAAATCTAAATACTGACTTACTCAAGAGACCACAGTTGTTCCATTCCAGCACTGTATAACAAAATAGTCTCTCTAAAAATGACTAATTATATAATTGCCTTGGGACTTTGAGCCCTGTCCTGCCTGAGAGGTCTTAATGTTTCTTGTGTGACTTTTAAAAACACTTAACCTGCTTTATTAATTGAAAGCGCTAAGTACTATAGATTTTCCTCTTTGCTCTCCTCTCCTCTTCATTCTCCTCTTCTTCTCTCTCCTCTTCTCTTTCCTCTCTTCTTTTTTCTCTTCTATTGATCTCTTCTTTGGTCTTTCCTCTTCTTTCCTCCTCTTCTCCTCCTCCTTTTTTCTTTTTTCCTTTTTTTTCCTTTTCCCCTTTCTTCTTTCCTATTTTCTTTTCTTCTCTTCCCTCTGCTCTGCCCTCTTCTCTCCTTTCCTCTATTCGCTCTCCTCTCCACTCTCTCTTCTCTTCTTCTCTTCTCCTCTTTGCTCTCTATTTTCTTTTCTCTTGTTCACTTTTTCTCTTCTTCTCTTGTTCTTTTTTGCTTCTCGTCTTATTCTTTCTTCTCTCTGCTTATTCTCTTCTTTCATCTCTTCCTCTTCTCCTCCTCCTCTGCTCTCTGCTTGCCCTCCTTTTTTCTTTTTTCTTTTTTCTTCTTTCCTTTCTTCACTCTCCTCTCTCCCCTCCGTTCTGTCCTCTCTTCTCTCTCCTCCCTTCTCTTCTCCTCTCCTCTCCTCTCGTCTTCCTCCCACTTTTGTTCCTAATGCACAAAGTATTTTCTTTTGAATATTTTGATATCAAGTCCTCTGAATTGTGCTATACTACAGGTTTTTATTAAAATATATAGATTTTTAATCTATGGTGGATTTTTCAAGATTGAAAATATGTGGGAACCTGTGAAATTTGAGCATTGAGGATAGAAGGTTGAAGTGGTTGCAAAAGGCTCCTTCTTAGTTTTAGAATCACTTCTATGTGCAGTGCTAATCATTGCTATCAAATAAGAACAGGATGCGATTTGCAAAAAGCTTTCATTGTTGCATTAATTTCTCCCTTGTTTTAGGCAGAGTCAAAAGATGCTGAATGCTTTTGACTATCGCATCACAATCTGTGGCTCTTGGTGTTGAGTACTTGTCTACATTATCACTGCATCTAATTTTACTCATTAGCATGTACTCTTTGTGGTCCGGTCCTGCAAACACATTTGTATTTACATAGCTGTAAACACATGAGTAGTTTTGCAATATGTTTGTGTTTATTATAGTAAAAAATACGCCAGAGTCACAGTTTCTGGTGTGAAAATTCTTCAGCCTGTCAGCTATATGCTCTAAACCTTGTATGGAGTGATAAGCCCCTTGTTTAAGCAGGATTTGTTTAATGAAGGCCCATGTGTATGTATTGAAAAGCAAGAGAAAGGGGTTGGGGTTTAACAAGTATGCATTAGCGAATGTATTTTTTTAAGCCACTACTATTAAAAGGAAAGACAAAGCATTTTTTATTGCTTTGGAAAGCTTCTCTGCATGCAGAATGCATGTATTCCTGTTACAAACAGCTTCGTTATTTGCCTGGTGAGTGTTAAAAAATTGGTTATGTTCTTTCTTTAAGTTTCTGGGGAATAGCAGGTTGGATGATGGTAGTCTAAAGATCTAAAAGATACTTTTTAAAAAAGGTATACTTTTATTTTAAGTAAGATTTTTATTTTGGTGCAAATCCAGAACAAACCAGACCGCTATCTCCTTTTCATAAGACAAGCCAATCATAAGAAGGTTGGTGAAATCATCCACTTCTAAAAATGCAGCTGCAGAACGTAAGTGATAAGCACTGTCTATTGTTTAAACTTTTTCTTGAAAAAGTGAAATAGAGAGTTGCATAAATTCATCACGTCAGCAAAAATGCTGCAAGTACTAGTGCTGCCTTAGCAATTGATATGTGGCCATTTAGAATAAATATACTTGCTCTAAATATATATATGAATGAATGACTAAAATATTATGTACAGCTTAATGGCATGAAAGAGTTTAATTTCCATTATAATCTGTAATTGACAGATTAGTAACTAGAAGCCTTATGTTCCTTCCTCCTTTTCCTTTTTTTTTTGTTTTTTTTTTGTTTTTCCCAAATGTATATACCAATTTCTGCTTTAGCTGTCTTTGGCACATAGGCTTGCTGCAGGCATCCTCAGAAAAGCATCAAGCAATTTCATCTGTAAGTAACCCACTCCACGATGACATGGTTACCAACTATCTATAGGGAGAAAATGCTGTAAACGTGGAGAACATCATCTTGGGATGCACTATGCTTTATTTTCACGATCGCAATTAATAACATGCTTAAACAAGGGAGAAGAAAGATGAGCATTTCATTAACTGCTTAATGATGTCAGGAACACGTGATATATTTCGAACAATGTATTTTAGTAAGTGAGCACTGAAATTATTTCTTATATCAAGCTGTGGTTTTTCTAATAAAAGTGTACATGTACTATGTTCTTTCTTTGCATATAGATAATCATGGGCTGCAATTACATGCAAGGGTATAATTTCTTAAAGATTTTAGGTAACAGAAGAAATTATATGAGTGAATCTCCATGACTTAGTGCAACAGGGCATTCAAATTGATTTTTAGGATACAGCTACTTTCTTTTACTTTAAAAGGAGTTAAGGAGAAAACGGCAAATAAATAACAAAATTGGGGACAGGGGGTTAAATATATACCTGCTCTTTAATGATGGCTTTGGAAATTAGAAATCAGTTTATAATTCATAAATTCTAATGATAAGTTGTACCACTGTCAAATTATATTATGTTGTCCTTCACTGTTATAAAGGATGAGGAATAGATAATTCTTCTGTGAATTTATGGCAGGGCTTGCGAGGAGTCTGCGAGTTTGTGGTGGTGTGTGTTTTTGTTTTGTTTTACTTATTTATTTATTTATTTTTGCAGGGAGGGGTTTGAAGCCTTTCTGGTATGTAGATCAAAGAGGTCTAATATTTGTTAGATACCGCTTGTCTCTGAGGTTTTTGATTCTGTATCAGCCATACCTCTTTTATGGCTACAGCAGGATGGCTTTTGGAAATCTGAGTTGAGAAAGTCAGTTACAGGTCATCTGGTCACTGGCATGCTGAGGAGGATGAGAGTAAATAAAAAGTGTCCAGAGGGGATTGGTCATCAGTTGTCTAAAATATTGTGTTGCTCAATATAAGTACAGAGATTACATAAAGCCCTTTATCAGTTGAGACTGGACTGGACATCCTGGGGAGTGCCCTTTTCTTCTTGCTTTATGTTAGGAGTTAAGTTTAAACTTGGGTTTAACCGCCTTCCTGAAGTCCAACCTCTGGTGTAGGTCCTTATGTTTTTCTGCTAGAGAAAAGCATTCTCTTGAAAATGACATAAGATGTAACCCATGATTAATTTTGATAACATATTTCAAAAGTTAGTAATCCCACTGTGACAAACATATGCCTTACTTGTGATTAGAATTTTAATTGGCTTCAGCTTCCACTTAGAAGTGGAGATGGCTTATGCAAAAGAGGTCAACAGAATGCTGGGGTTTTCTGCTGGGAATGCATTTAAAACTAAAAAATAATTCCTCAGTACTCTTTTTGATTAACTTCCTAAAGATCTT